CTGAAGAAAATCTCTCAGCTGAGTATATAAGGACATGGCTAACGGTTTCTAAGCTTGCTGATATATCAGACCGATTCGTTGACATTTAAATGGGACTAAGCAATAAATACAGTTTCTGTATTGTGTATAACTGTACAAAGATTCTGTATGCAAATGATGTTCAATGAAACTCAGAACATTCCGTTGTCAGAATTCTCAACGTAAACACGACATCATTCAACAAATTCAAAACGTATTACGCTTTAAATAAAGATTCATAGTGCAGCCTCTCTTCATGTATATGTATTTCTAATTAGTAGGTACATACACAGATCACATTCATCAGTGTCCATAGTAAACTTTAAAGTGTACTTTTAAAAAACAAATAGTTTTATTTCGTAAACAACAAGCAAAACATGAAGTTCAACGACCAGATCATTACCCTGTTACTACCAGTGTTACCATTCTCTACCCAAAATACATGTGAATGTTTACATTATCATTCATTCAGCTATGATGAACATGTGCAAATGGAATAAACATGAGAAGGCAACAAACAGGATAATAAAACTCATTCATCTTTTGTATATGATAACAAAACAATATTGTTTCACAACTGGACGAGGTGTTTTCCAATGAGCATGTGGATGAGTATGAGAAAGAGAATGAGAATGAGTACGAGACTGATAAATAAACATTGAATGATAGTGTGAATAAGATAAATTGATGTGATAGAATGCCTGTGTGAAACAGAAATGTGATGGAAACAAATATCCAGTATACGAAATATTTGTTTATTTGGTGTGTGTGTGTGTGTGTGTGGTAGGGTAGGTGGATATTAGTAAGTGTTTGCATAAGATCGTCCATTAGACGACAACAACAATAACAATCCAAATAATAATAATAATAAACGGTAAAGTTCAAGTTGAAAACGATGATGGAAAATAGTTCACTTGTGAACAGTGTTTTAATTTAGATGGATTCATTATACAACTGTTTAAATCTTGTTGCGGCGTGAAACGGAGAAGCTGATTGAGAATGAACGATTTCTTTGCTTGTTGAATCGATAGTGTAAATCAGTTGATTTTATCAGTGGTATTTTAAGATTCTGTAACCAGTAAGGTTGCATTGACAGTCTAAATGTTATCAGATAATCCCATAAGATCGAACCCCGAGGAATACTGATGTTTCGCACATATATGTACTCATCAGCTTAAACTAAGTTATGGAAAATATTGAATGATGAATTTGATGTTTACAAACATTTAGTGGAAATACGTCATTTTTGCATTGTGTACCAGATTCATGAATAAATATATTGAAACCTTGAGGAGAGAGCAGGTAGTTACAGCGTGATTCTGTTGATGATGACCTTTAGATAGATGACAATTTACTACAAGGAAAGCTTTCCGAATTGAAGACGAAAAAATTCTCCGTTATTAGACACACTCATGAGTGATTACGCTGTAGATGGACATTCTGAATTCAATCTATTTTTATGTTGGTGACCGTTTAGTTAGTAAATGATTGTTGAGAACACTTCTACTGTCACACATATACAAGTTCATTGTCTTCATTTCTAACTTGAAATCCACATGGAGATCAGAACATTTGAAGATTCAAGAAGTATATTTTGCTGACGAGTTTAGTTACGAGTCGTGTATATGTTGAGGGTTTTAAGGTGAATTTCCCTACATGAAGTATGAAGAGGACATAAGAATTATTATGAAGTTACCTGAAATGTGGTTTATGAGAGTATCACGATACTGCTTAACATCTACTCAATATTTGTTAATAAAACTGATCAACAAAGAATTCTAATGTGAATAGAACAAGTTGATGGGAATATGTGTCTTATAGTTTAGCCAATGATAATAAACACGTTGGTGTGTCAGAGAATTAAGGCGCACTGATGTCATCAAAACAAACATGATAACAAGAGTTCAAATTTCATTACGCGATTGGATGCAGTGGTTGATTTGCAAAATGATAATCAAAACAACAATTCTAGGTGAAGTTCAAGGTGTAATGACAGAGATGGGAAATCTGTGATTTGTGAAGGGAGTTTTCATTTGATTTCATTCCACGTGTTTTGAAAACATGTTGTTCTTTGACGGCAGTTTTATGATGAAATGTTGACAAATTGAAATATTGATTCTGTGAACAATATTGAAATGTGGTTGTGATTTAGCTGTGTGATCGAAGTCAACTGGGTGCTCGAAGATAAGACTTGTAAAATTTTGTGTTTCATACTAGTGGAAACGATCTGAAATGAGATATCGTTTGACTGATGGAAGCGAATCGTTTCTACAACCGAAGATTATTTCAACATCATACGACTTTTCAACGAAATCAGACTGCTTAACTGAATGCCGATTTTATCCTCAGTGTAATCTCTATACATATGAAATTGTAAGTTTCAGATGCGTTTTACTTTCTAATTAAACATGTAAATATGAGAGAGAATTATAGTATTAGCATTAGTCCAAATTTGCATAGTGGTGGACCTAAATTCAAGGACATTCATTTATATAACACTCAATGAAGATAGATTGCCATCCTCAATGAATCTGTTTACAGTATATAGTCTCATTAAACGCTCAGTAATACCATTCATTTTGAATGCAGACGTACACCATCATTCTGTGTGAATTCGGAAACTCACCTTCATTTTCAGAAGAAACATCATCTAGTTTATATCTCTGATCATCTCATATTTAGACTGGATGGTTGACAATTGATAAAGTTAAGTGTCAGAATTGAATGAAGCTGTGGTTGGTGATCGACTGATACACGTGGTCATCTGTTTATATTAATGATTCTTATTTTCGTTTTGCATCCAACATAATTCACCTTGTGGTGAATGAAATAAGATGAAGCAGTTGACTGACAACACTCACCTTCTCAGCTCATATCTCATTTCCAAGTATCAATCAACTCTCAGTTGACTTGTTAATTGTAAAAGAGAAGAAACGTTTAAGTTCAGATTCATTGAGCATTTCAGCTAAATATTCAGTGTGGAATTTGCAGTAGTAGTGACTCAAATGTTATATTTCAACTAATAGATTCGTCAATTTAAGACTTATTTTGAATTTCTTTCTATTTACAGCACGACCCGAGATGGTGCGATCTATATTCTGGGTTCATTGCAAATATTACCATTAATGTCAATTCAACTAAATCGATAACTGGAGGGAGAGTGTGCTGTCATAAATCCAAATCTTGTTTAGATTAATAATAATACAACCAGTAGAAAATTGTTTACAGTTTGAATGAGAACGTTTACTATTCACCCTCAAAACTGCAATGGTACATGTCATCTGGAAATATGTAGTACCCATGAAGAAGTGCTTTACGTGAATTGGGAGAATTGATCCATCTTTACTGATAAATACATTATTGAATGAAAGAAAGTGTCTACTTACACAAATGAGATACACGTGAAAGCGAAGTTCACAAAATATCAATTGGTAGTAGTTTTTGTGGTGCGTGTAGTTTCGTTAAGCTTACAGCCTGATAACTGGTATTACGGAACTCAACAGGACTGAATTGAGTAGGCGATAAGATGCTGCGACTACAACTTATCAGGTGATTGTACGGACCACAGAATTACAACCACATCAGGCGGATTCGAAGCGAAATAGGGCAAAGAATCATTGCGAGCGAATATGGAGGCAACTTTTTAATAATACCAAAAAAAGCACGGCGAATCAATGTACAGTAAGTTTTTATCATGCAAGCACAAATATATATGAGAGAAGGAGAATAACACATCGAGGTATATTTAGGCGACCAAGATAAGAGTTAAACAGACATATGCGTAAGCTGTAATAAGCGTTCAAGCACACACGTTTATATCGGCTTGATGCTAATTCTTCCAATTCAGGGATATAAACGAACTGTTACTATGTCAATAACATACTTTGTCAGATGAAATAATTGACAGGGATTAACCGTTATCTAAATTAATCATGAGAGTGTTACAGCAGATTTTATTGAATTATACATAAAGATTAATTGTAAACCTTAACCTATGAGGTATCCTTTGTTCTTTGTGCGTCTGAAAGAGAAAGGGCTTTCTCTAATAATAACTTAATGAGTAACAGTGACATGCTATAGTGCGTAAGACAGCTATAGCTGTGTTCATATATGGAGAAATGTAAATCATTCCGTAAATGACAGTAGATGATTGTTTTCGAAGAAACGGAACATCCAAATAAGTGTTCCGAGATTTCACACTTTGAATTGAAGAAGTTACCAGTCTCAAGCCATTCCGAAACCCATTATCATAATAATTCCGATTATTTGATTTGAAGAAGTCAGTGCATTTCATACATGACTTGAGATATGAAGCAATAAATCGTTTGATTTGTGTATTGATAACTTGATCACAGCACACGTAGAACGAGTGTTCATTTGTCCTTGGAACCTCTTATTCACTTTACAAGTATCGACTGAGTATTTTACTAATGATAAGCTGGGTCGATTGCATCTGCTTAACATTATATTTAGATTTGTATTTATGAAAATCACATGTCATATGTTCATCACGTTACATGAACCGGAGACTTTGAAGACACCAGTTAGGAACGTTTGTGGAATGTTAGTACAGTGTACATTCAGTATGTGAACTTGAAATAATACCAGACAGTTATAAGCACAAATTGGTAAAAATCTAATCACAAATGGATTGAATACATCTACTTGTTACGAGCTTTTATATATAAGAATAAAATGTCAACTATACCGGAAATGGGTATATGTCTGATCAGATGGTTCGAAATGCATTGCGCTAATATATCATATAGTTCTGACAATCCTCATCTTCTCATTACATTATCGAAATCCGTATAATCTTATTTGAGTTCTGTGGTTTCAAAATTGTCACTGGTGTACACACCTGTGTTATTTTTATACCATTTGAATAGCTAGTCGATCTTTATAGGCTATGACGTAATTCCATAGATCTGGTCTTTACTATTACCTATCAACATATATGTGTTATTTTAAAAATACGAATATGAAGAACAGAACAAAGTTTTATTAGTTACTGATCAGTAACCATGTGAACATAAAAGTCATATTATAGAAAAAAAATTAAAAAATCATCAAAACATTTTTTTAGAAAACTTCAAAAAATACATGATCACAGAAATTTAAGTGAAATGAATTCTCTCATTAAAATCATTACTAGTCATATATGAATAACAAAATCAATAGTAGGCAATTTGATCATTCTTGTAAGCTAATAAATGATCAACTTTTCTTATTATTAGTCATTCAATGGTGATGTAATATGTCCAAGAAATATTGGTAGACAATTATTCCAAACAATTGAAATAAAGAATGGATGATCAACACGAAATTCTGGTACAGGTTTGTGAGGTCTCAGAGATGTGCAGTATACCATTTGTGTCGCTGTAGCTGCAGCCGCCACTGCACCTTTTTCATCCACCTATATATGTATTGGGAATAAAATAATAAATAAGCAGAGACAAACAATGAAAGATACTATTTGTATACTGTCTCGAATAATTCAAAATACACAAAATAATATCACTTAGTTTTTCTATTTATTTATTTAAATACACAAACATTGGTAAAAGGAGGCACCAAATAGATATGAGCAACATAAATCATTTAATTTCTGTCAGGGTTGGGATACTGCTCAGGTGCCTATATCGAAACAAGTAGTTTTCTTACGGGGCCACATCAGGAGCTAGGTGATGACCAACAATACGTTCATACGGCATTTGTTTCCTTAGGTTCTTGGAGTCCATGTGCACCATTGGTTTGGAATCAGGGTTTTCCAACTCCCCTAGATGGACTCACCGTGTTCAACAATTCAGTAAACAACACCCCCGCCGTCAAAAGGTAGTGATGTGATGTAAAAACTACTCTAATATTCTTTTTATAACAAAATTACTGTAATCTTAGTCACCTTGTATTCTATTTCCATATTTTAATCCCGTTGTTTGGATATAATTGTATCTCACGAGAGTTGTGATCGCGTTAGTCATTTATTTATTTACCTATTTTGAGTTCGGTTCGTCAAATGAGGAATAAATATGGTAATTTCCAACTCGATCGTTTACTCTCTCCGCTTTCCAACCTATCAGATTATAGCTTAGTGATGGGATAGATTTCTTCCTTCAACACTGTCCAGTCATGAACCAGACCTATGTATTACAAATCTCAGGGTAGTACTAAATACTCTAAAATAGGTCGGGACAACCCTCTTCCCACATATCATGCAGACTAAAGGATAGGTAGATAAGAGAAATAGTGCCGTATATGTGACCTCTATACTCGACGCCCAATTTCTGTCAAACTGTTCGTTCTAATCTTGACTAATATTCGTATATCAGAATTATTGCTTATTTGGTACGTCTTTAACGAAAGTTCAAAAACAAAATACTCGACCTTGTTTTAATGATAGCCACATCAACACAAATTCTGTTGGCAACTGAATATACTCGATGGTAAACCTATGGTATTCTGAAAGTACATCAAATTGAGATGAGTGTTATTGTGTCAATCCATTAATTAGAGAGAATTTTCCATCAAGAAAATCAATGACAACATTTTATAACAGGGATTCAGATAGGAAAGACTTTGAAAATTTTGACAAAAGTCTATAGTTAAGCACTTGAGGTAATCAGAAATTTTGTATCCAGGTAAACATACAAATTCTCTCTGTAATGCTGTCATTTCTATGATGAAAGTGGTATACACCAACCTAGATCAAGCTTTTTATCATTCGTATGTTAATATTGACATGAAGTGAATTAGTAAGCATACTACTTCATGGATGTAGGGCAAGATCAGTCCTAGTTCACGTTGAAATATGACTTTGAGCAGACAACCATTGACTCGGTAAGATGTACAGTATTATGTATGAACACAGTGAACCAAATACTAATGTTATATGCTGTTTTACGAAAGAATATTTAAAAAATTGTGAACCACACAGAAAAATCAATTTTTGTAGACTCAATTTCGGCATATACTATTGTGGTAAATACTAGTGATATATATACATATACATATTTATGATAACCTACACACACCGATCGTACAATTTGCGATTATGGACTGAATGGTTAGATGTGATCACGCCAAATAGATAACCTTGTATAATAATATAGTTTAGTAATTTGTTACGAGATATGCTAGATATATCAAAAGTTGAATGTCACTTGACGATCAATGAATATACCATTGGCTATATGTGTAATTCATTCTTTTATTTGATCAATAAATATTTACAATCAGTAATATACTGTATATTAGAAATGTCAGGATACATTAAGTAAAGCAAAGTTGTCTCCATACTAGGTCATTCAAAACTATTCATTATTGTTACTATGTCATATCAGTAGAAACAGAATTTTGGGAATAATCAACTTGACATTTAGATGTAGATTGAAGTAGCTCTTCTAGAGTTACTGCCAGTCTCATGCTCGACTAAAGGAACAGGGTTGGGTATAGGTTAGCGACCTCTAGTGATTTGTGCACAATTTGTGCATAACATACAAATTTTTCTCATTTTCGTAACTATTCAGTAGTGTTGAATATAAAAAGAAATGCAAACATGTACGTTTGTATTTATAACCAAATGATGTGCTATAAATTGCATTTGATTTCAGTGAACATTTGTCAATCAACACGAGATTCAAGAAATTATGCAACTATGAAAATGTATTACTAATAGCCAGAACTGATAACATAATTGTATATTACATATTCAAATACATTTACAAATAGCCAATGAATATTAAAAAAGCCGGAACAATTGTACCTCCTCAAAACTGGTACATAATTAACTGAGATCAAAACAATTCCCAAAAATGTGTTTTCTACATGTATCTAATTGACTTACTTCAAAAACAGCTTTATGCATCACATCTGATATACACATCCTATCTGAGTCAGAAACATTTGAAAAATCAGCTGATAAAGGACAGAATGCATCGTTTATTCCCAATTTCCGCAGATGATCTTTCAGTTTTATTGCATAACCTTCTCTTAATCTAAATTTAGGCAAATACAAACGCATTTTTGTATTTTGAAAACTCGTGGAAAGTATTGAAGAAATTCCACCATGTTTATACATTGAATCCAGTAAATCGGGCAATCCGTCATTTGCATCTGGAAGAATGATCAATAACGTAAACCTGGGTAACAAAGTGTTTGAAAAAGAAGGAATACTAAAGTAATATCAAGGAATAATTAGACAAAAACGGATACATTCAATAATCTCAATATAAAAACATGGTGCATTCGCACTAGCACACCCAGTTTCACCTACAGTTTTCAAAGTGCATCAGATAGTTATCTTTCATAAACTGAACCAACTTTGGTTAAGCTAACATTATTTGGAGTTGTTTCCAGTGGTAGATTTATTAAGTATTTATTCACTGTATCGCAGAGTCAAATATATCTCATTATACATTTTCAGTAATAAAATACTATATATAATCCCTGCATAAAATCTGTACCATTCATTTTGGTTTAAGAATTTACATTTCAATTGGATCGCACTTAATCTTGACCTTACAGCTTAAAAAATCACTGAAATGTGTGTAAAATAGTTTGTGGTTGAAAGTCGAAACGACGTTAAAACACTTTACTAGTTGAACAGATATAAATAAAAAATGTTTTGATTAGTGTTTAGAATACCGACATACAAGTATGGCAGCATAATAACATACATTAAAATAAGTACGGCGGTGGTTACAAGTAATAAACAACAAACCCTGGACATAGGTTTCGTGCTATTTGACAGCTGTTAGCAAGGTGTACCTGTATACTTGAGGGAACTGATCACTACTCATTGGTCAATCAATTGTAAATGCATAATAATTATAAATTTAGTCTATTAGTTCGAGCCCTTCACTAAATGAAGAGACGATAAAAGCAGCACACGTTCTAGCAACTAGTAGATTACACGTTCAAACCTCAATTTTAAGTGTTGAATAAATTGATACATATTGTGGAGAACTCAAAATGCTACAATTATGAGTGATTTTCTATCAGTGTTTGTTATTTAGCTTACTACTGAAAATTATTACATTAGTTTTCTAAAAAGCACATCACAAAGCAATAAAATACAAAACAATCCTTTAAATATTATTACTCACTTAGGGTCTTTAAATGGTATCTTCGCAGCACGTGACCTCAAGTGGGGTAAACTGACCATATCGAAATATGATTCGTTATACATCAACTTCACACTCATTTTTGATCCATTCAATTCATAAAACTCGCTAGTATGTGAGTTATCTTCAGGAAAACACATATTCCATAAACCTAAATAACAACACCGGTTAGGATTTTTCAACTGATATCAGGTAGACAAATATAAAGTGGATGCAGTTAAAATGAAATTTATAATTATTCACAGTTAGATTCATGTATCCTTTTACCTTTGAAGTATGTAGTAGCTGTCACTACAGCAGACGTGTCCTTTGTTAAAGAACCGGGTGAAAGCAGTTCTTGAATTTGTCCTTTAGTTTGTTTACTAACCCACTGGTTTATCCGGTTTCGAGAACCTTCTATGTCAGTCTCAAATGCCACCTTTGCGCAAAAAATAGTAACAAATAGCAAGAACTTACACGTTCTGTTGGAGCATCGTAGTATGTCTTCAGATTAGTTTTGAACTGTTCCTTGATTCTCACATTTTGTGCAACGAACAATCTATTAGCAAGGATTATATTAACACCTTCACTAGGTTTCGAACAATCATTTAGAAGTTGAGCAATCTCATGATGAACTTGATCATGTTCTAAACAGTCAGACAATTGCATTGCCTTTATCATCTCGGCTTTCGTATTGTTTCCACTGCCTGAAAGAACCATTCCGAGGGCAGTATAGATATTGAACGGCGAGAGAAAAACATTTTTCCATTGACCTAAACACATTCGTAGGAGCATTGTAGCAGAACGAACTCACCATGAGTTTCATTTAATATTTGTTCGTAAAACTTGTCAGTGAAGTTCGTAAGTGACTTTAATGCCTCCATCTTGTAGGAAGTAGAAGTACATCAGAACAATGACTACAATTAAATATTCGCAGTGCAAAACGTCAAAGAAACAGAGCAACAATCTAATATTAAGAACTTCAACCTGAGAGTGCGGTTGGTTAAAATTCCACTAATGCAGCTATCCTCTTACGAGGCTTACAAGTCAGTCAGTACAATATTTAATTTCATATGGTGACATGGACGATCTTTAGTCAACCGACTATCATTAGAAAAAAACACTGTGAAGAAAGTTGTGTAACATATTGGTAATAATGATTCGCACCACTTTCGAATCAATGGAATGCCTATATACAAAATTATAAATTATAACAGCCCAGATGACCTTAATAAAAAAAGCCAACTGTGAAACAAACTCAAGTTTTCCATCTACGTTAGTTACAATGTAAACCTATTCCTGACCCAATTAAAGGCACATTTTACTCATGATAACCGATTTATATCATAGTAAACCTTTAGAAATAAAGCCAGATTATATGCTAAAAATGAAACGAATACGTTGGAATGAGTTCAAGAGATAGATATTGAGAAAGTAAAATCGCATTGCCACCTTACCAATAGGAAAAATATATCCTAATCATCCACGTTTTATTGAAGTTTCGGTGGTGACCGTATATCAATTTACCGTATACTGAAAGACCATGACATTACCATGTTTCGTTAAACGGCGGCCATCTACTTTAGGCTTAACGTTTAAAATGTGGCTGTTGTCTACCTTTGGCCCAAATATATGACGAATAGTTTACTGTTCACCTAAATTGACACCGAACGGCAAACGACTATACCAGTGATCTGCGTTGCGTCAATAGCAGTCAACACTGAAGTTAATTGTAATGAAATTCCGCCAACTTTGATTGAACACAGTAGCTGCAGCAATGAAAGACTTCTGTGTGATGATGGTATATGTAACAAGTTCAGTCAATTTCCCCAAAAATCTGATATTTTTAACATTAACTGCAGTTTTCGTGTGGCTTTTTATAGAAATAAAGGCGAACATGGGAGACATTTGTGGACTGGCAAAATGTATGTTGAAAATTTGAGCGAAGGTAGATAATCCGGAGCATTTAGGCGAAAAGTGGACAGTTCAGCAACATTTAAAACACAAAGTAACGTAAATGGTAAGATCCACATTACTTCTCAGGCGACAAAACAGACATTAGGGCACCTTTCCCCATTATTTTGGCGAGACTAATGTAAGGACGACCTTTGAACGAATCTTAAGTGACCTTGACAATTATTAGCCAATCAGAAGAAAGTTAGTACAGAGTGAAAATGTATTATATGAAAGTAATGAATTACAGTGGATATTCTTCTTTTACATGATTTAAAAACTTGTTAAGGTTTGATTAAGGTTCAGAGGTTCTGAATTCACAATGCATATGGAATAGAAACTCGTCTATTGTGTTAGAGTTAGGTTTACGGGTAAGGTTAGGGTTAGGGTTAATTGAGGGTTAAGGTTTAGGGCTAGGTGAGGGTTTAGAGTTAAGGTTAGAGTTTAGGGTTAGTTGAGGGTTTAGAGTTAAGGTTAGAGTTTAGGGTTAGTTGAGGGTTTAGAGTTAAGGTTAGAGTTTAGGGTTAGTTGAGGGTTTAGGGTTAAGGTCAAGGTTTAGGGTTAGGGTTGGGGTTAGGTGAGGGTTTAAGGTTAAGGTTTAGGGTTAGTTGAGGGTTGAGGTTTAGGGTTAGGTGGGGGTTTAGGGTTAAGGTTAAGGTGTAGGGTTAGTGTTAGGGTTAGGATGCTAACATACGAGTTTTTAGGGTTGTGGTTAAGGTTTAGGGTTAGGATGCTAACATACGAAATTTTAAATCATGTCAAAGAAGAATATCCACTGTAATTTATTACTTTATTTTAGTTTATTTTTACTTCATGCCGTCTTCTGATTGACTAATAATTGAAATTACTCAAACGCTTCTGATTGGCTCGTCCCTAAATTAGAGTCTCGCCGTTCTATGTGTTGTAACCTTTCATTAATCACCTACTCTCTAAAATCCGCTGTGAACCGATCGTATGTTAGCAGCGCGTGTTGGACTTGGCTCCGTGACCTTGAAATTGCGCAAACGCTTCTGATTGACTCGTCCCTAAATTAGAGTCTCGCCATTTTTTCCACTCTAAAGAGTGCATGGAAAATGGTCTAAAGACCATGTGGTTCCATTTGTCGAATATTTAACTATTATAAAATTTCAGAAAAGAAAGGATCCAGACTAGGAAAACAACGGCTCGAAGTACTAACATGAACATAGAAAATAGGTGAAGAACTAAAATATTCAGTCTTCGACAAGTTTACACTTAGTCTGAAAGTAGATTGTTTGCTAGTGTAATGTGAGGAGAAGAGAATCGACAGCAATCAAAAATTACACAAACGTGAGGACAGGACAATCTAACAATCGAGACAACAAGTTGACATCCTAACGTTCCGAACGAGTTACGTCACTTTTCAAATATTGTTAATAGCCAGTACCATCCAATGCCCAATATTTCGACCCTCAAAAATTAATAGCTGAAATGAATTGGTGTGCAGTCTTATGATACTGACGGCTATCGTTAGTGATTTCTTTAAATACAAGTTCAGCTCACGTAAAGATTAACCCATGAAATCTTTTTGGTATGTTCAAATGGTTCAAATGGTTGTGTACGGAATAGTGGAAGCTTTCGCTTAACAGGCTTCCGTGTCTAGTAGCAGGGGATCACCAAATCCTCCAGACAGGAACCTAGGTATGTTAACAATAAAAGAGGAAAAGAAATTGGTAAATCATAGTGTGATGCTGTCCTTGGTCCTTAAGAATAGGTCAAGTTGCCTCTTGAAGGACTCCTGAGAAGTCGCTTGGACTAGCTCGGCCGACAGCGAATTCCAGCTTTTGACAACTCTTAAGGAGTAGAAGTTGTGTCTACATTCCGTCTTACTATGTTGTGTTTCCAGTTTTTGGGTGTTACCCCTTAGGTTATTATTCGAACTAAGCTTAAGTAGGTGTTTAAGAGGATGTCCAGAAATGCTAAGAATACTATAAGCCATTAGTAAATCACCTCTAAGACGCCTATATTCTAGTGGGTAAAGGTCTAGTGAACAGAGGCGTTCTTCGTAAGGCTTAGATTTGAGTCCTCGAACTGATTTCCTGGCTCGCCGTTGGATACGCTCCAAAGTGACCTTGTCCTTTTGGAGTGAGGGGGGAGTACTATGATTCCGTACTCTAAATGAAGACGGATAAAACTATTGAAGATTGTATGGAAAGTTCTTCCGTCAAACTGGCCAAAAATGCGCTTTAACGCTACCAGTGCAAGGTTTGCTCGGAAGGCATTTTTGTCACAGTTAGCGTAAGACTTTAAGTCATGGGGCACCAGGACTCCTAAATCTTTTTCTACTTGGGATACTACTAGAAAGGAGTTTCCTAAGTTGTAACTGTAGTTTGCGACATGTCGCAGATGGACTACTTTACACCTTGAAGTGTTAAAGGTGAGTCCGTTATCGTCTGCCCAACTTTGAAGTCGAGTCAGATCCTCCTGAAGTGCCTGTGTATCGTCTTGGTTGCGTATCTCTCTCCAAAGTTTCACGTCGTCGGCAAAAAGTAATAAGTGTGACGTTACCTGTTGAGGAAGATCATTTATGTAGATCAAAAAGAGAAGAGGTCTCAATACTGAGCCCTGGGGGACCCCACTAGGACATTCCATAGCCTGAGATAAAGTGAAATTAACCCTGACCTTAAAATGTCGATTTTTCAGGTATGGAGTAAGCCAATCGATTAGAGGTGGTTTGATACCTAGTCGTTTGAGCTTGTTGATAAGACACAAGTGGTTAACCTTATCAAAAGCTTTTGAGAAATCAAGGTAAATGATATTAACCTTTCCCTTGCAATCGAGGATGCTTGTCCATTTGTCCACCGCAGTCAGCAGGTTGGTTATACAAGAGTAACCCTTCCTGAAACCATGCTGTTGGGGTGAGAAGATATTTAAGGATAGTAGATAGTCATTTAAACCGTCGCATATCAGGGACTCCATGAGTTTTGAAGGTAATGACAGAAGAGCCACCGGCCGATAACTTGAAGGTTCATTGCGTCGACCACCTTTGAAAATTGGTGTGATGTGAGCCAACTTCCAGTTTTCCGGTAATTTGCCTCGGCTAAGCGAGTGTGAAAACATCACGCTAAGTGGCGTTGACAGGATTGAGGCTGCCTCCCTCAGTATGGCAGGATGAACGATATCCGGGCCAGGAGAAGTATCTAGTCATAAGTGCTGCAATTTCCGGAACACCAAGTCAGCGCTTAGGTCCACTTCAGAAAGTTCTGTGGAGTTGGAGATGAAACTGTCGTCAATAAAGTTGATGTCAGCCGGTTGAAATGTTTGAGAGTAATGTGCCGCCAGAAGGTTAGCGGCGTCGCCATCGTTGTTGGTCGGGCCGTTAAGATCTAGCAGTTGAGAAACTCCTGTTTTGGCTTGACGAAGAGAGGCCGCATAACGGAATAGGCTCCTAGGGTTAGAGGCAAATTTGTCAATAAGCTTTGTCTGGTACTGAAGCCTGTCTTTTCTTATAGCCTTCATGCACATATTCCTTATATGTTTATATTGCCTATACTCTCCGTCGTTATCAGTTCGTTTGTATTCCGCCCAACAGTGCCTTTTGCGGCTTATCAGGCGAAGGGTAAGGTTCTTGATTACTGTAGGTGGCTTGCAGCTTTCGGAACCGTTTGAGGAACTGAATGGTTTGTAGCACATAAGAGCGTGTGCAGTAAGAAGTCATAATGACCATCCACGTCGATTTGAGGGTGAACATCCCAAACCACCTGTTGTAGATAGTCATGTAGAGCTGGCACATTCAGCCGTTTAAAATTCCAACGCGAATTATTGTTGGGATACCTTAGCTTAGTTTTGATGACAAAACTGAAGGCTATGACGGCATGATCGCTCTTTCCCAGAGGAGCCAGGATTGAGAGGTTGCCAACTGGGAATTCTTCGTTTGTGAATACACAGTCTAAGCGCGATGGTGTCTGACTGTTTCTCCAACGAGTTGCCGACCTCACATTTTCATATAAGCCCAAGTCATCGATGAGGTTGAAGAACCGAGCTTCAATTGAGTTGTCGCATTCAGTGTACGTGTGTTCCGCGAAGTTGACTTTAGGGAGATTAAAGTCCCCTAGAATCAGGATGTGTGTGAAACCGAGACGGGTAGAGCGGGATAGTCCTTCCAGCATACGACTATCGTACTCGATGTCGGCAGTTGGCTTCCTGTAAATGACTTCGACTAGACACCTCGAAGTACTAGACAATCTTACAGAGCACCATATGGATTCCTCAAGATTGTTAAACTCGAGGTTGTGAACTTGGTGCACCTCCAAGCAAGAGCTTATGTATATGGCTACTCCGCCCACAATTCCTGTTTTTCTGTCGTTGCGGAACAAAGTCATCCCAGGTAATGCTAACTCTTGGTCCGAGAACTGAGAAGATATTCAGGTTTCAGATATTCCTATCAGATGGGCCTCATTAGCGTTGCTAAGTTCACGTATTTCATCCAGTTTGTTTGATAGACTCACGGCGTTTTTATATAAGCAGTTTATGCTTTCGATCTGGAACGCGTGAGCTTCGTCCTGTTTTTATGTATGAGCTTTATGTGAATGGACAGGTAGCACACCTATATGAGGTTTCCCGAGGTGGTAGGCCCTGTCCTTTACACGTTTTTTTATCATCTAGACAGTCCACAAGTGGAATGGTCAGCTCCAACATGCCTTTGTGCTTGGTCCTAACTTCGTATGGCCTATCCGGGTGCATGTGGATTCCAGGTGGCAATCGACGTCTATTAGCACGAAATGCTTCCAGAACTGCAGCCGCCATGTGGGAAGATGGGAAGGTTATCTTCATTAGACGGGGTTTAAGATCACCGTTCCTCTAATCTGATTCAACAACTACATAGCTTATATTCCTTTGTTTAAATATATCTTCCTCTCACAACATCTAATAATTCTAGTTTCGTCAGGCTTACGACTGTTTTACGGGACACTTTACTATCGTGTTTCAACTTATTTGAATTATAGTGTGAACTAAACGTCCTAGAAATAACGGAGTCGAATAAACAGAACCAGATAAGCACAACGAATGTATTGTATTTAGAATTTGAAATCGGGCATTCAACGATTACAAAAGAATAATTAGTCTGTTCAAACACCACATCTGCCACATTTTAATTTGGAGTCCAGGTATTTGTTATCAATTGTACCTCATCTTCTCAAATTCATCCTGTGTCTGTCGGGCGGTGTATTGGATAACGACTCTGTATTATCTCAGATGTACTCATTAGCACTAGAATTAACAATCGGAATTGGAACTGACTCACCTGGTCCCTGAAATCGCATTTGATCAACATGTTGACTGTGTGTACTTTAGTCACTGATATCTAGAATTCGAACAATCGATTTTCCGACATTCTTCAGAACAATACCCGTAGATGGCCGAAAATCATTTCCTCGATAGTATGTAATTTCTGCAGACGCCAAACATCTCATATTCGACCGAAAAATTCTTCCTCTCAATAGCTTCGCTTGAGTCTCTTCCGTCATTAAATGACTGGCATTTCTATATTGCAATAGAAAGGTATCTACTCCCCTCTCCAGTCTTTAATGTCCTGACAAATGTTTCTGCCCGGCCATTAGAACACGGACGTCTGAGAGCAGTAAACAGAGTTTTGCACCGTATACCATTCAACCAGGTAGTGACTGCAAGTGCAGCAAATTGAGAGCCATTATCAGTCACTAATATCATAGGAACCCCTTTCTTAATGTTTGGATTGTGAAATCAGAATTTGGTGAAGTTGCGAAAAAAACTTAAGGTCACTTTGAAAAAGAATCAACAACTACTAATGCATAGTATTTGTCAAGAAACGGACCACAATAGTCTGCATGAATTCTGTTCCAGGCCTCAGACGATACTAGCCATGGCGTCCACTTCCAAGGCTGGTTTATCAACTGATGACATTTCTCACAATTGTTTGCCGTACGACGTATATCTGCATTTATCTCTGGCCACCAACATGCGAGCATTGCTAAAGACTTCATTCTCTCAAAACTTAAATGAAGATCTTCAAGAACAGATTCACGCAATGAAGGAGAAACGACAACACGGTCATTTAAACACAGAATACCATCAGTAGTAGTGAATAGCTCATCCCGCTTTGAAAAACAGACAGGAATTCTACATTTCAGATTAGATTTCAACCTTCCCGTATAGCACTGAGTATACATCCAAAGTATCTACGAGTTTTTCTAATGAGATCTGGACGTCTCACCTGTGGAGGGTGCACTAAAAAACAGTTCGAATATTAACAGGTCTCTGTTGTAGTGGTTGTCGAGAAATTTAGTCAACGTGTTGAATTTGTTCGGCACTCCTGTGCTGAACCGTATAGTCATAGGCACTCAAAGCAATACTCCATCGTTGAACCATAGCAGCTGAAGAACGTGCTTAATGTTTTTCAGGATGATAA